TCATGACGAAGAATATTCAAGTCAAGGCTCAACTTCACAACGAATGGGTCATCCACGGTTTCAACTTCACGACGAAGGGAATCGTGCCCACCAGCAACATTCATCTTCATATTGGATTTCAACTTCATGAAGAAGGATATCCAATTCAAGGATCAACTTCACAACGAAGGGTCCCTCCACGATTTTAACTTCACGACGAAGGATATCTTGTTCATTTGCAACATATCTCAAGGAAAGAAGGGCTATTTGCCAACAAAAGACCTTCGAGTTCGACTACGCTCAGCTTAAAGGCAAATTATTTACAGCATAACTCAAGGCTAGAAGGGTTATCTGTCAACAAAGACCTTCGAGTTCGATTACACTCAGCTCAAAGGCACACCATTTGCAGCATAGCTCAAGGCAAGAATGGTTATATGCCAACCAAAGACCTTCGAGTTCGATGGGCACATCATTTATAGCATAACTCAAGGCTAAAAGGGTTATCTGTCAATAAAGACCTTTGAGTTCGATTACACTCAGCTCAAAGGCACATCATTTATAGCATAACTCAAGGCTAGAAGGGTTATCTGTGAACAAAGACCTTCAAGTTCGATTACACTCAACTCAAACACACATCATTTACAGCATAACTCAAGGCTAAAAGGGTTATCTCTCAACAAAGACCTTCAAGTTCGATTACATTCAGCTCAAAGACACATCATTTGTAGTATAGCTTAAGGCAAGAAGGGCTATCTGCCAACCAAAGACCTTCGAGTTTGATTACACTCAGCTCAAGGGCACATCATTTATAGCATAACTCAAGGCGAGAAGGGTTATCTGTCATCAAAGACCTTCGAGTTTGATTACATTCAACTCAAAGGCAAATCAAATTTACAGCATAGCTCAAGGTAAGAAATGTTATCTGTTAACAAAATTGTCGAGTTCGATTCCATTCAACTCGATGACATGTCAATCACACTACTTTCCGGTTACAATCGAGGTTTTTATGTCGAGAAGAAGACTTGGGTTAGCCGTGCCTTAGTTACAAGAAACCGTTTTCCAGCAGCACAACTTAAGTCGAGAAAAGCAATTTGTCTACGAAGATTTTTGAGTTCGATTTCGAGAGACTATCGACCACATGGTGGAGTCAAGGAACTATTTTCCAGTCGAATTTTTAAACCAATGTCTTTAAATCGAGAAGAAGACTCAAGTTGACTACAAATTGGCAACGAGAAGCCACATTCCGAACTACGGTTTCAATTTCATATCATTTCAAGATGGACTCGACTTCGCGACGGAGGAGTCATCTGCAACTCAATTCGACAGGTAGTTATTCTTGATTGAAATATCAGAATCAATTTTTAACTCCACCGAACGAAAATTCGTGTCTTTTTATCTTTGTCCTATTTTTCGTTCCACGAAAAAGGACAAAGAGGGGCAGTTGTAGACATTAATTTTTCGCCAACGACTCACCCACCTCTGATTTCTCTTGCATCATGGATTTGTGGGAATCAAGTAGAAAATAACCAAATCAAACACAACAACCCCAAATCAATTTTTAAATTCTATTAAGACTCTAAATCCACCCAAAAATAAGGGGTTCATCAAGCTATAAATTAGTGTAAAAATCATAGAGAAAAGGGGAACATAAAAAACTTCATGAAAATGGGGTTAAGAGAAGAGCCAGTACCGAGGGCCAAAATACATGTCAGCATCTTAGGCATGTCCTTTCAATTAGGTATCGTCGCCGGCGATTCTAAGGAGCTAGCCTTCAATTTCTCCACCTTCTTCGCATCTCATCGTCAAGACCGGGGCCGGACCCTTTGGTTCCCCCATCTCCGGCTCCATACTCAAGAGTGTCGAGTTTAATCTCCTTGGTCGTGGAAACCCTAGCTCCCAAACAACAAATCTCCATTTCCTTTTTTCCCCTAAGCTCTCCCACTCTAAACTCACGGCAGAAACCCCTAAGCCTCCAAGCAAGGGAACAGAGAAAGTTTATGGGAAATGCAAATGAATTAAATTTTTTTTTTGTTATTTTAGCTTTTGTCAAACCCACGTGATTTTTTGGACTTTGGGGGTAAATTCTCCCTCTGGCCCTTCATATATTTGGGTAAATCTTTCCTTAGTCCTCCATATTTTTTATTTATTTTATTTTAGTCTATAAATATTATTTATGGGTTATTTTCATTTATGGTGCTTGTATTATTTAATATTCACGATTCGAGCTCTTATTTATTTTGTAATTAATGTTTAGTCACTTTAGTTTCTGTTAATTCCAGTTTAGACCCTTAAATTTCTATTTTTGATATTTTAATTTTTTTATCTTTTTTATTATTATTTCTTATTCTATTTCTTATTTTTTTTATTTATATGATATTATATATTTATATTTTTTTTATTTTTTATTTTATTTTAATCCTTTTATTATTATTTTTATTTGTTTATTTTTTTATTATTTTTTTCTACTACTTTGTTTATATGTATATATATATATATTATAACTATTATTATTATTATTATTATTAACGTATATATTTTATATTTTTTTTATTTTTTATTTTTCCCTTTATTATTATTATTATTATCATATATACTTATTTATTTATTTATTTATTATCTTTATTGAATTTATTTTTTTCCTTTCTAGTTTTTATTTATTTATTTATTATATTTTTTTTGCTTTTTTCTTTTTCTTTATATTTTTTATTATTGTTTCTTTATTATATCTATCATGTTTATCTTTATTTTATTTTTATTTTTATTTTTATTTTCTTTATCTTATCTTATTTATTTCATTTATTTTTTAATTATTTTTTTATCTTATTTATTTTCATTACTTTTTTCCCTTCTATCAAGTGTCCAGATTTTTTAAGTGTACGTTTTCAAATCGATCAGAGGTAAGCAATTCGAATCGGGTAATTTTAATTTTAATTTTCGTAATTAAAGACAACCGACAAATTAATTGGTACCGAAAGGGCGGTTCAAGGGTATTAATCCTTCATTGACCGTAACCGACTCCCGAACCCGACACATTTTTTGTAAAATGCAGATCATGTAAGATGGTGTCCGACCAACCTAAATGTTTTTAAAATGGTCGGTGGCAACTCTAACCATTTCATTCAAGTCGAAGCCCAATTTCAGGCCCAACCGAAAGACGGCCGCGACAGTTGTCAACCAAAAATATTATGAAAATATAACATTTTATGTTCAACCGAAAATGTTACGAATAATATAACATTTTATATTGTGTCCATCCTAAAAAGTTATGTTTTTTATAATAATTTTGGTCGCACTCGTTTATGTCGTTTTTTAGCCTTAAATTATCATATTGTACCCTAGAATTACCCGAAAAACAATTCAACAAAGTATCGTTGATAACACGTTAAAACAAATGAAGTGGTTTCATCATAAATGTGATTAAAATCAGACTCAACTGATATAGACCGTAATAGTTTTTAGTCAGATGCTAATGTTAATTTAATTGAATGCTACTGATGAATACAACTTCTATCCACATGTTCTTTTGGGATTGAAATGACCGATTCAAAGATTAAGGAGTTACGTGCAATTTATTAAAATGGATCTTTAATTTATAATGTCAAAAACTCAAAAAAAAAACACACACACACACATATATATATATATATATATATATATATATATATATATATATAAATTATTTTAATATAAAAATATTATTAGATTATACTTTTGAGCAAAAAAAAACTTAAAAACATCTAAAAGTGTAATAATGTTTTTTACTTTTCTCTTACAAGTATTTAATTTAACTCATTTTTTATTTTTGGAATCCTGTAAAATTATTCACTTCACATCATTTAAGAATTATCACCAGAAGTGATAGAAGATTGGGACATAAAATTTTTATACAAATTTTTATTACTTCATTTATAAATATGTTAGAAAAAAAATTAAGAAAACACCTTTTTTTGTATAAAATACTTTTTATTCGTTTGATATGATATGATAAAATATAATATATATATATATATATATATATATATATATATATAAGTTTAAATATAGTTTAATTTTCAATACATACTCGTCATCCAAAAAATGTAAGACTCATTGATAAAATATGAATATTCTTTTTATATAAAAAATAGTTTATTCAAGATCAAAAGGTTTAATATATCTTAAATTTGATGCACAATAAAAATACAAAAGTGTTGTTTTTAGTAAAGATATAAATATTAATTAAAACTTAGGGTAAACTACGCTTTTAGTACTCTAATGATCATTGTTGTTATGTTCTAGTCACCCATATTTTTTTAAATCATATCTAATGCTACGTCTTAGTTTCATTTTTGTCACTCATCATTAAAAAATAACAGAACTATTGACGTGATACTTTTTTATTTTTTTAACTATGATTTGATATTATATTATGATGAATTGATGATATATGAGTATCACCATTAATTTTTTAACTGAAATGACCAAAATGAAACAAAAATTTGATGTTAGATATAATTTTGAAAAAAAAGATAGTTTGATGATCAAAATAAAATAAAAATAATAATTCAGATACTAAATGTATAGTCAATAATTTGCCCTAAAAATTATAATTAAACATGTAGTATTTGATAATAGTATAGAAATAACAAAGGTAAGCAATGCATCCAAATCCTACCATCCATCATAAACTTACCTTAAGAATAACACACAATCTTAATTTAATTACTAATATAAATTATTTTATTTATTTATTTAGATAAATTAGGGTGAATATAAAGTAGTATCTGATCAAAAATTCTTAACCAGTTGATTATAAAGGCTTGTATCTTCACCGGTGCTCAAACTTGAGACCTCTAATGATAATATAATAACAAGTCCCTTAAACCACTGAGGTCGCTTAGAGTCGTACTAATTTTTTTATTATTTTAATCTGTTAAATAATTTAATTTAATTACTTAAAATGATAAAATAAAATAGAAGACAGGAGGCGGGTTTATATATAGGCTTCTCCGACGTTCTTGTTTTGTTATTATTATTGGAAGCTTAATTTTTGGTCGTCAATGGCAGCAACAAGATTTCTCTCCCACATTACCACCAAAAACTCCAACCTTTACTCTCTCTCTCTCCTCGCCATCCTCTGCGCCACTTTTTACTTCATCGGAATCTGGCAACACTCTGTATCCCCCATCCCCACCTCCTCCACTGCCGCCATCGCCGTCGCCGGCGTCCTCACCCCAGCCCCTTGCAGCTATTCCCTCAACACCACCCAACTCGACTTCATGCCCCACCACCTCCCTCCGGATCCGTCGCCCACCACCGCGGCTCTCCCTCATTTCCCTCCTTGTGATCCTTCCCTCTCCGAATACACCCCATGCGAGGACGCCGGAAGATCGCTGAAATTTGACAGGGACATGCTAATATACAGACAGCGGCACTGTCCCGAAAAGAACGAGCTGTTAAAGTGTCGGATACCGGCCCCGTATGGTTACAAGATTCCTTTCAGGTGGCCTAAGAGTAGAGAGTTTGCATGGTTCGCTAACGCGCCGCACAAAGAGTTGGCCGTGGAGAAAAAGAACCAGAATTGGATTAAGGTCGAGGGGGAGCGGTTCAGATTCCCCGGCGGCGGCACCATGTTCCCACGTGGGGCCGATGCTTATATCAATGATATCGACAAGCTGATCAATCTCAAAGATGGCTCGATAAGAACCGCCATTGATACCGGTTGCGGGGTACGTACGTTCCGATCAAGATCCCCTTTTTTCTTTTAAGTTCATGGTGAATGATTTTTCATGAATCAAACATGAAACAATCAAAATTCTTCTTCTTTTTTCTTGATTTTGACCTGTTTGCAGAGATGGAAAATTAGAGGAAATGATGGGAAAAAAAGAAAGAAAATTAATTGGTAGGCTGCAAATTATTCGTTTGATTGTTTCCTTTTGTTTTACTTAAAGTATATAGAAATAAGGGTAAACTCAAACTTAGTATCTTAACTATCACTTTTGTTCCATTTTAGTCACTAACTATTTTTTTATTCATATTTAACGTTACGTTTTGATTTCATTTTGGTCACCAATCGTTAAAAAATTAACGGAGATGTCAATGTGTCACAATAAGATAATGGCACATCATCATTGATTTTTTTTAAATAACACACCAGCACTTCTATTAATTTTTTAACTACGATTGGCAGGTGACCAAATGAAACAAAAATGTGACATTAAGTATGATTTTAAAAAAATAATAATTGAATGACAAAAATACAACAAAAGTAATAAATGAGGTACTAAACATGTAATTTACCCTAAAAATAAAAAAAATTCCTTTTAATTTGATGCGTTCTTGATAGCATTTTTTATTAGGGTTGAATTACTATTTGGTCAGTCATTTTCAGCAAGTATATTAATTGGATACTATTCGTTTATATAATTTTTTTAACATAAATAGTGCAAGTAAGAAGAACATGGTGAGGATTATGGGTACTTTTGTCGTACAGCGGGCTTATTTTAAGGTTAAGAAAGGTGCAATCGAAAATGTTAAAAATAATTTAATATTTTTGATTGAGCGTAACTTAAAATGTTATGAAAAATGAAACATTTTCGATTGACAACCGAAAATATTATGAAGAATAGTTATAACTGAAAAAATTAAGAAAAATTAACATTTTAGGTTACGCTTAATCGAAAATGTTAAGTTTTTTTCTTTAACAATCACCGTTGCGCCTTTCATTAACCTTCCTTTCTTTTGGTATTTTCGAGCATTATGGAGATTCCATATGCTCATGTTATGTTTAGCAAATATTTAGGTGAAATGCACTACGAAGTCTTCGCCAACTGTTTATGTATTGTTAGGCAAATTTATGGTACAAGTCTTCATTTTCACGTAAAGTGGTTCACCAATAACAAATCATTTGTTTTAGAAATTGATATTATAATGATAATTTAACCCAAAATTGATAGATACTCACTTGATCCGATTACGTAGGATACTTTTTTTTTATAAAATATAAAATATAGATTCATATCAAGTCAAATATTATAGAAGGCTAGGACGAATTGAATTCGAGTTTAGACCAAAGGTAATTTATTCTATAAATTTAGGTATAATTTTTATAATATCCCTTAAATTTTTTAATTAAATTTTTATTTTTATTGAATAAAAATAATTTTATATATATTTGAAGTAAGATCGAAAATGAGTTTTTATCCCAAAAAATCAAACTGGAAATGAATTTGTATCCCAAAAAATAGAATTGAATCGGTTTCGAATGAAAAAATATGCTCCTTAAGTCAGATCAAGTTGAGTGGACGTTGTATGCTTATCTGGTTGAGTCAAATTGGCCAAAAACACAATCTAACTTGACCTGTTGACATCTCTAGTTAACACCTCAGACTTAAAGGTTTAATAAATATTTGTTGTTGTTGTTGTTTTTTTTTGGTACAAATAAATTTTTGTTGGTTTGATTGGTCAGGTAGCAAGTTGGGGAGCATACCTATTATCAAGGAACATAATACCAGTGTCGTTTGCACCAAGGGACACTCATGTATCTCAAGTGCAATTCGCTCTTGAACGGGGCGTCCCTGCATTGATCGGAGTCCTTGCTTCCATTAGACTCCCCTACCCTTCAAGAGCATTCGACATGGCCCATTGCTCTCGTTGTCTCATCCCTTGGGGAACCTATGGTAATGCTCTACTTGTCTCCTTTTTTTTCTTCTTCTTTTCAATTAATCATATCCGATTATTGATTGACTAATCCAAATCGAGTACTACATATACAAGGGCGACTCTCTACACCTAATTTACATTATTTGCAACGTCAGGATTTACTTAATGAATCTAATGTCTCATCCCACTGGAACAACTTATTGTTGGTTTCTACTTGTCGCCTTTCATTTCGATAAAACTGCTTGTTGATCACCATTTTTATGGCAGATGGGATTTACTTGATCGAGGTCGATAGGATCCTACGTCCCGGTGGGTACTGGATCCTGTCAGGTCCACCGATCAACTGGCAAAACCATTGGAGAGGTTGGAATCGAACGGCTGATGATCTGAAACAAGAACAATCTCAAATTGAGGCCGTGGCTAGAACCATTTGCTGGAAAAAGATTGTACAAAAAGGTGATCTTGCCATTTGGCAAAAACCCACCAATCATATCCATTGCAAAGCTAACAGGAAGGTTTTCAAGCAGCCAAAATTTTGCCAGTCTCAAGAATCTGACGTGGCATGGTCAGTATTATTCTCTTTTTTTCCCTTTCAATTTGCACGTGTTAGGTGAATTCAAGGAAGATTTGACTTGTGAGTGGAGGAAAGAATTATTTTCGACATCTGAAAAGCAAATTCTTCCCTTTGCTAGAAAACACATTGGCTGTTACACCAAAAACGATTGATAGATAGGGTAAAGGCATTGTCCAGGGACCTATCACTTGTCATTTAGTTTAAGTATCTTTCAAACACAACTTTTTCCTTGTTAAACCATCCACCTACTTTCCCTGCCTATCTATTTGCATAAAGCATCAATTTTTTTCTTATACATACATTTAAAAAAAATGGCATGGCTAGGAATAAGAAAAATAAAAGGTTATGATAAAGATTTAGACGGAGGTCCATTATCGAAATAACTGTTATATGATAGTAATAATGCCGTCTAAAATTATTATTGTACGATTGCAATACCTGCAATGACCGTAATAACATCTGATATGTTCATAATTGTGATATAAACAACACAACCGAGTATACAACCTGCTACCACAATTTAAATCCCTTATTATAATTCGAACTAGATCTATTATTCGTTCAATCTTAAAATGTGTTTATCAGTCTTTTTCAATTACTTGCTACTCTCCACAAAAAGCTTTTGACCAGTAAGATTTTCAATCTGTGGAGCAGGTACACAAAATTGGAGAAATGTTTAACCCCATTGCCAGAAGTATCCGATATAAAAGAAATTGCAGGTGGGCAATTACCAAAATGGCCCCAGAGACTGAATGCAATTCCTTCAAGAATCAGCAGTGGAAGTTTAACAGGAATTACAGAAAACACGTTTGCAGAAAATACAGAGCTGTGGAAGAAGAGAGTAGAGTACTATAAGAAAATAGACTATCAGCTAGCCGAGACAGGGAGGTACCGCAACTTGTTAGACATGAATGCATATTTGGGAGGCTTCGCGACCGCTCTCATCGATGATCCTCTCTGGGTCATGAACACTGTCCCCGTCGAGGCCGATCAGATCAACACCCTCGGGGTTATCTATGAACGAGGATTAATTGGAACATATCAGAATTGGTACATTCTATTTTCCTTGTTCCTTTAGTATCATTTTGGTGGTGGGTAATTTGTTTAATGATGGTTTTTTTTTGGTCTAACTAGGTGTGAGGCAATGTCTACTTATCCTAGGACATACGACTTCATCCACGCTGATTCCATTTTCAGCCTCTACAAAGACAGGTAAAGAAAAGACGTTAAACACAAGGACGGACGTAGAATTTTGTCAAAGAAGCCGGACTTATAAAATTTTAAGTTTTAAGGGACAAAAATATATAATCAATTGAAAATACAAAAAAATATCTAAAATATATAAGAATTTGATCCCTAATTAATGAATGATCATATACATGTATTACGAGGAATAATTGTTTGACAATGCAGATGTGAAACGGAGGATATCCTTCTGGAAATGGATAGAATTTTACGACCAGAAAGCAGTGTAATCATTAGAGACGATGTCGATGTGCTGTTGAAAATCAAGAAAATAATAGATGCTATGCAATGGGAGGGGAGAATTGTAGACCATGAAAAAGGACCACATGAAAGAGAGAAGATCCTTTTTGCAGTTAAGCAATATTGGACTGCATCACCATTGACACCTAAATAAGACCAATAAGGAATTATGACGGCTCTTATAGAAAAAGGTCAATTTGCTCTGGTTTCTTATTTCTTTCTTCTATGTTTTTTAATTGTTTAATTTTCATTTTTTTAGTGTACACCTTAATCCTTTTTTTCTTCCCAGTAATGCAATGGTTGAATAGAAATTTGTCACGCTACCTGAATAATGTTTCTTGACTTTTGTTTATTTTTATGGTCTCTTCTTAAGCTCATCCAAAGACTAAGGTCTTAACATTAATCTAAGAACTCAAACCTAGAAAAAGGAAAAATGAAGTCAGCAGGATAAATTTATACATGGTACTGGCCAAAAGCTACAAGCCCATGAACCATAGTCAAAGAAGTCGATCCTATATGAACTCCAGAAACAATGCTTCCTGTTTGCCCGTCAGACCGAGTTGATTCAAACTTAAAGAACAGTCGGCAGCACCAAAAGCACGGCGAGGATAGGGCCTTACCTGTTAATCAATGGAAGTGAGCAACAAATGAGTATACATTATTAATCCAATTCAAGCTGAGCTGTTAGTATACTTTCAATTTGAAATAAGGTTGCAATTAATTCTAAAGTAACTTCAAGTTAGCTGCCCAGCTTTGAAAAGGTTTTGATGCATTTGATCATAAATTTATAAAACGATTGACAGAAGAATTGGAAAAATGAAAGCTCCTTGATGAAGAATATGATGATGACTTCTCTTAAATCACCAGGTAAAGAGATTAAGATAAAACAGAAGAAGGTAAGGTAGCACTCACCACTTTGTAAGTGCCCGGCTTAGCCACTTTACTGACATCTATGAAGTCGAAAAGAAGCTACAATGGAATGAAACAAGAATCAGAATAGCAAATAAATGAATCTATAGTCCTTTTAGAACTTCAGAAAATTTTTACCTGGAGTTTGTCTGACCTGCAAAAGCGACGTCCATGGCGGGTACCATCTGGCATCCTAACAAGGATAGTTACTGCATTCTCATCATCCCTTGCTGGCTCTGGTGGAAGTGAAGTCATTTTTGTTGCCATTACCTTGTTAACTTCCTGCTCTTGGTGAAATATACAAGTGATTAGCCTAACTACGTACATCGAACCAGGATGATCCTTTTAAATTTAGACAGAAAGTTGAATATCCAAGTTTGAAATGGCCATTTAATACTCTTTATTCGAATATCAAGCCTATTAGATTTCTTTAAGATAGACATAGCAGTAATTCATCATGGCATAAGATGCATGCATAGTTGTTAGGTAAATCAGACAAATTGATGAAATAAAGGGAAAACCGGAAAACTGCTCTACAACCTTTAAACTTAACTTGATCCAAAATCAATTTGGCTTCTTGAACAATCCCACTGTCAGCAAATCAGCAGAAGAATACAATATATCCATAATCTGGGATAATTAAATGAATCTTTGGATAGTTTTTCTGGTGGTTGGAAAATATTTCCTCTTACATCATCGTCACAAGTGTCCTAATCATTTAACAAATAGCCTATAACAACAAATGTAACAAACTAAGAGTATTAAATGCATCTTTTACCCTACAAAGGTGAAAAATAAATCACCTCTCCTTCAAGCTTCCTTCTGAAAGATTCTTCTTCTTTCAAACTATGACTTTCAGCTTTCTTAAGAGCATTCATCTCCTTTTCTTTATCAGCTAATAGAGAAATCAGATATTCCTCATCCTACAAGAGAAATTTGTCCAATTAGTCAGAAGAAATACAATCATCAGACAGGTTTTATGTGTCATTCTAGGAGTCATTTTAACCTGCTGTTGCCGCAGTAAACGTTGGTCCACTAAAGAGGATGACTGTGGCTGAGATACAGCCTGTAGACCATCATTAATGCTTCTACCTGGACCACCTTGCTCATGAGAAGGGAGACGCAAACTACCTTCAGCAATCTGGCTAAAAAGTTGGGTCTCCAGCATAATTGCTTCATCAATCTCTTTCTCTGAAATACCAACCCACTTTTCACAGAAATTATGAAGTCAATATGATTAGTAAAACATTATCATGGTCCTTAGCTTGAGAAGAAGGAATTTTTGTTATATTAGAAGATTAATAATACCACATTAGAGTTCAAGGAATCCCTACTTCGAAGTTGATTATAAATATCATGGATGGATTCATGAGTCACTGGTGGTTGTCTAAGTGATGAGTTTCCTGCCTTGAATTCAGCGCACTTCTTATTAACAATGAAAAGATGCTTCTATGAGAACCAAGAAGCATGTTACACTTTTACCTAAAGAATTTGAAACTTTTCTTATTTTATTGTTCTAGAGAGTCGGGATATTCACTTTAGAGTTTAGATCTAACCAGCTAAAAGAAAGATAAACTCTAATATATGGAGCTATATAACTAAACTGAAGATTAAGCTTTACATTTATAGTTCTCTGAACACCTTGTACTGGTGGAAAAAGAAAACGAACATTTTATCAATAGAGCAATGGATTTGTTTCTAAGACACTACACAAAATAATAAATCTAAAGATTAGTTCCCAAATTAGATAACACAAAACCCAAATGTTTGAGAAAATTTCCATTAAATGTTCATATCAGTTCAAATAAATAATTTCTAATGCAGATCAATGCATTTATGAGAAGGCCCCTGTCTGCAGTAATTTTTTCTATAACAAACTAAAGCAGAAGAAGAAAACACACCTTAGAGCTGTTACTAGTTGTTGCCTTAGTTCTATCATTTGAATCATATGTTCCCATTTGTTCATAATTATCCTTCAACATACGTATTGCATTCTCTTCATCTGCTGTCTGAACTTAATATTGTTAGAGAGAAACCAGGACCAAAAGTGCAAAAAGATAGAATGAAATCAAATCATGAAAACAAGAAAAAATAAGTGAAAACCTTCAAAGACAATGAAATTGCACGAGCAAGCTCATCATCTTCTTGCTCAAGTTGCCTCTGTTGGAGCCCAACGCTAGATGAACCCTGCATCAAAAAATTAAGAAACTAAGAAAAGAAAAATAAAAACCTAGGAAGAACCACGTTGTTCACCATATGAGTTTATACATTGGGAGAACCACGCCGCTGATTAATATATGTTTGTTCAAACTCCTGCTTAGAAGCCTCAATTGCAGCTTGCATCATTTCAGATTCTACACAGTCGATCTGTTGTTGACCATGATCATCTCTTGAGACATTGTTGTAAATCCCCCCTCCATAATATGATGGTGTTCCTGGTGAATCCGTGATGGAAGGTCTCACTCCAGAATACAGAGGATGCTCATTTCTACCGTTCCACCCAACAGGGACCCCAGTAACCTCTCCCATATGAGGAGATGTTGCTTGGTTACTTAAATTAGGAGCACCGATCTGGTTTAGCAAATTCCTCCTATAGTTGGGGTCAAACAATAATGAAGGCCTAAATCTTCTAACAGCTGAGATGAGTGGAACAATTCCACGTGTTCCAAATCCACTCTGATTGTTCACGTCAACAGAATCAAGCCGAGAAGAATCAGTGGTTATCAGATTCGTACTGAACATGGAAAGAAAGACCAGACACAACAAAGAAATGGAAGTTAAATCCTTAATAAATAAGTTACAAATGAAAACAATAGGAAGGGATAGAAGCATACACGCTTCTTTCCAATTCAAGGAAATGTGCACTGACAGCCGCATTTAGATTGCCTCCATACTCCTATTTACCAATCAAAGCATTTAAATGAGTACAAAATTAACGTAAGATAAGAACATCACGCTCCAATGGCAAATCAATGTAGAACTATAAGTATAAAAGATCAGAATAATTATGAAAAAGTATCTATTACAACACAAGAAAGCAAAAATTATTCTAAGCTACGAAAGTCAAGAAAAAGAAAACATTATATTCCACAAAGAACCTAGTTGGTTATCAGGAAAGCCTAGAAAAAATGTATAACAAAACCCTAGAGAACGGTAATTCTAGATCTGGAAATTAAGAAATAAAAGGAAAAGGTGAAGAACGGAATGAACCTCCAGTTTCCGTAGTGCAACTGAGTCAGACTCCCCGGTTATTCTCTTGAAACTCTCGACTGCATCCCGAGTTGGCGTCGACATTGCCGTCTATTTTCAGTTTTCCTTTTTCAAACTGAACTGCACAGCAGAGTACAGTAGAGAAGAAAGAAATGGAAAAAAGGAAGAGAAAGAAAGGAAAAAATTAAAGGGAAAATGCAATATTAATATTTAAACTATCAGTTTTAGTCTAATTTTATATCTAAACTTTTAAATTTTTAAAATCATACCTAATATTTAGTTTTTATTTCATTTTAGTACCTCATTTAAAACTTAACGTTAAGTTTTAGAAAAAATAAAAGTTTAGTGACTAAAACTACTAGTTTAAGTATTAAACGTGTTAAGTTTTTAACGGATACTAAGATGAAAAAAAAATTAAATGTTAGATATTATTTTAAGAAAATTGAAAGTTTTGATACTATAACGGACTAAAATAGTAGTTTAGATACTAAAGGTCTAATTTATCCAAAAATAAAAGTAATAAAGAAAGAGTGGTTTTCGGTGGGTGGGGCATACATTCGCGCCTTTATTCAGCTCTTTTTGACGATCCCGCGTGGCTTAAAAAGATAACTATAACTGAAACGTGTAAATAGGTAAAGGTAATAAGCTGTTATTTAGAATTTGTAACAGTGCTGTAAGAAACCAATAATGATTTGAGGATCAGTATGAAAAATGGTAGTATAATTTAAAATTAAAAACTGGTTTCTTTCAACAGAATTGAGAGGTGGTCGGACCGGGAATATGCCAGTTGGTGTGAATTTGCTTTGAAAATGAAGCTATTCGGGCAGATTTTAATAAAACATTACTGGTCGTACTAAATCCAAAAGTGGAGGCACCAAGACGTTTTCTTCAGTTTCGACTAATTAATCTGTGTATGGTAATTTACAAAACAGTAACGAAAGTCATTGTAAACCAATTAAAAATTTTAAAAAGTCAAATCAGTTTTATCTGGAAACGAAATATATCTGATAATATTGTTACTACTCAAAAGGTTGTGCAATCAATACGACAAAAAAATGTGAAGTGGGGTAAATAAAAATTAAGATAAATTTGGAAAAAAAACATACAATAGACTAGAATGATCTTTTATTGATAACATTTTACAAGATGTTGGTAGTCCAATACATTTATGAAATTTATGTGACGAATGTGTCAACTCAAGTGATATGGAACGGGCATCCTACAGAAGCTTTCACCCTTTCGAGGGGAATTCGGCAGGAAGATCCGCTTTCACCCTATCCTTGTCTTTTGCACGAGTCGACTGACACAAGCCATATAGGTGGAGGTAGAAAATGAGGAATGAAAACCGATTAAATTATCAAAAGATGGCCCAGCATTATCTCACTTCTTCGCGGATGATTTGATTCTCTTTGTCGAAGCATCTCTATCGCAATTTGATGTAATTAAGAGGGTTCTTCAGAATTTATGTGATAGCTCTGGTAAAAAAGCGAGTCTCATCAAAACTAATATTTGCCTTTTACAGAAAATTGACAAAACTATTTGTACAGATATTACTGATGAATTTCAGTTCTCCCGAGTTAATGATCTCGAAAAATGCCTTGGATTACCACTCTTTCATAGACGTGACGCAGGAACATATGCTTATCTGGTTAATCTAGTTTGAGACAGACTTTTCGCGTGGAAAGCAAAGACTTTAACACTAGCCGAACGAGTTGTTTTGGCGAAGTCGGTGTTAGCTGCACTCCCAACTTATGTGATGCACATGTCTACTCCCTAAAGGAATCTGCAATGAATTGGATAAGCTCGTTTGGGATTTTATTTGGGGGCACACAGACGATTGACGTGGACTAAACCTTTTCCGATGGGATGAGGTTTGTAAACCAAACGAAATGGGAGGACTAGGCTTACGACAGTTGCATTTTCGGAATGAAGAATTCCTGAATAGAATGGGATTTCGTCTAATCTCTAACTCAAGCCAACTGTGAGTCAGAGTATTACGATCAAAGTACAAAGTCCGAGAACTATTACCGGAAAGCATCGCAAGACAAGGGAGCTCACGATTGTGGAAAAGCATTAGTACTCTACGACGTTAGGTTCGGGAAGGCGTTCGTTGGAACCTAGGCGATGGAAAAACTATTGATTTTTGGAAGGATATCTGGTTTGGAGACTTTGAACCTTTGAGGGACGTCATAATTAGCAAGGAAATAACCAACAACTGTATATTTCAATACGTGATATGATTGGACTGAACGAGGATTGGCGATGGGAATTACTATGGAATTCCCTTCCCCAAACAACCTTGCTAAGCCTTGTGGCCGTGAGACCACCGTTCGTTAATAGTGGAGCCGAGACACCGAGTTGGAGATTGGAGGAGAACGGGAAATTCTCACTGAATTGGGTCTATAATAAACAAATAGAGGCTGTTGGAGAAGTGACATCGCCAATATGGAAAGCCATTAACGATTATAGAGGACTGTCGAGAGTTGGACTATTACCGTGGCTTATTGGGAAAAATCACTAAATGACAAACGTGGAACGAGCTCGACAACATTTTTCACATAACACAGCCTGTCATTGTTGTGGTTCCATGGAGGAGACGACATCTCACATATTCATGGAGTGCTTCGAAGCTTGAACAGTTTAGCATGAATTAATACAATCGGATAAGCTTGAGGAATTCCACTCCATGCCAATGGGCGATTGGATACAAACAAATCTACAAAAGCCAAATTATTTCGCACGAAGAGCAGAGGAATGGGATTTGGTATTTGGATCATTAATATGAAACATTTGGGTAAATTGAAACAGGTCTATATTTGACCCTGAATTTGATGAGTCGGAGAGTATTATGCAGGCGGGTCTACGGATAAAAAAAGAAGCCTCCAAAGCTTTGAACACACATCATCTGCGATCGATAAATCGAGATGCACAACATAATCATCAATGTCGGGGGAACCTCCTCAAGCTGGTTGGTGTAAACTGACTTCTGACGGTGCTTGTAAGCTGGAAACATTTGAAACATCTTGTGGGAGAGTGATACGAGATTCCAATAACAATTGAATCACGAGATTCACCAAGGCCTTAGGACGATGCTCGATACTAGATGCTGAGCTCTGGGGGTGGTAGTAGGATTTGAACCGCATGGAACTTTGGTATGTGAAACATTATGATAGAACAGATAGTAAAGAGGCGTTCAAACTACCATCACAAGGCACATCGATAGATAGGATATTGCCGATGGTGCCACATATTATCTATTTACTTCAACAGAACTGGAAACTACGATTTGAACATATCCCGAGAAAACGAAATGAAGTGACTGATGGGTTAGCAAAGGTAGCGTGGTCCCTCCTGTTCGAACTTCACACCTTCACGGAGCCAGCGGTGAGCTTTGGTTGTGAAAGAACAGTCCGTGGATGCAATAATTTAGCTTAGTTTAATTTTTCTACCTTTGAGTATTCAAAAAAGTTAAAAAATGATTGATGTATTTTAGTCTTTGGATCGGTTATTTTAAAAAAAATTATTGTTAGATATAGAAATGAGAAAAATTGTGAAATCATGAAATATTAAATCTAAGTATCAATACTCAAATAGAAATATTGAGATGTATTGTGAAATAAATATTAAATCACATTTAACATTTGAGATTACAATTAGAAATGTTACTAAAATATATAGCATTTTAAGTTAGACTGGATACTATTTTAGATTGTAAACTAAAATATTACCTTAATCATAATAAAGAGGGTAACATTTCAGATTGCAATCTAAAATATTATCAAAGCATTTAATAATTAATGTTGGAATGCGTAACATTTCATTTGCAACATAAAATATTACTGAATCAACAAAAATTATGTAAAAGAATGTAACATTTTTTGTTGCAACCTAAAACGATACCCTCAATATTAAGTTTGAATCAATTTTAAAACTTATGTAACATTTTAAGTTACAATCGAAAATATTATCAAAATATATAAAATTCTAAGTTGTTATAGGTAACATTTGATATTTTTCCATTTTTTTTGTTTAACTGATAATTGTTCAAACTAATCACGACATTTTTAACCATATATTAATTGTTGCACAACAGAACTACCTCAAATTTGGCCGAAAATTGACCAAACTTTGGTTTTTATTTTTTTAACAAATTCTAAATCTAATCTTAATTCTATCTAGAGGGTAAGGGGAAGGGGAAATCTAAGAGAATAAAAATGAGCAACTTGACCAACCAGCCAAAAATACTTGCCCGGTTTCTACTCATTTGTTTTCTTTCTTTTCTTCATATTTTTGCCATATCTAATCTTAATTCTATCTAGAGGATAAGGGGAAAGGGAAATCTAAGGGAATAAAAATGAGCAACTTGACCAATCAGCCAAAAATACTTGCTCGTTTCTACTCATTTATTTTCTTTCTTTTCTTCCGATTTTTTCTATATGTAATCTTAATTCTATCTAGAGGATAAGGGGAAAGGAAAATATAAGGGAATAAAAATGAACAACTTGACCAACCAGTCAAAAATACTTGCTCGGTTTCTACTGATTTGTTTTCTTTCTTTTCTTCCGATTTTTGCTATGCTTTGACATTTTTTTATTATTTTTTGAATCGCTGAGGAGTTATGGGTTATAGTATGATTGCTTGGGACAATTTCAAATTGCTTGGTTAGTGGATGAAACGAGGACTGTAAGCTTCAGTGACGGAGGATTTTTGTGGTGATGTTTTGAATATGTTCAAAGAGAATGAGAAGCTCAACATATTGTTTGGTTGATGGAAGTAGAGTTTTATTTGAGCATCCACTGGGTTGAACCACAACTTCACTCAAGTAAAATTAGATTTAGATAAGGGTAAACTATACAAATGGAAGTAGAGTTTTTTTTTCCATTGAACTTTCAAAAGATACAAATTGATTACTAACGTTATCGATTTGTAACAAATTAGTTACTCAACGTTAATAACCATTAACATGTGTGACGAAAAACTGAACTGGACTGTTAACCACTCACTTGGTTTGTTCACCGCTTACTTGATATGTTAACTGGTCACTGATGTTATAGATTCATGCATTTTCAGAAAATCAATGAAAATTTATAAAAATTTCAAGGTACTGAGCATCATTCAAGCTTTTCATTCTTTTGTTTCTCTGGTTATCAAGAAC